CGCACATCAACAACGACTTCCACAACCACAACCACGGCCACAACCACAACCACGACATCTTCATTCTCTGGCTTTGCGTCGACAACGCGCATGACCACCTCGACAACAACAACCACAACCACAGCGTCGACAACCACGACCACAACCACTTCCACAACGTCCTCATTCTCTGGCTTTGCGTCGACAACGCGCATGACCACCTCGACAACAACAACCACAACCACAGCGTCGACAACCACGACCACAACCACTTCCACAACGTCCTCGTTCTCTGGCTTTGAGTCGACAACGCGCACGACAACCTCGACAACAACAACCACAACTACAAGCACAACCACAACCACTTCCACAATCACGACCACAACCACGACCACCACGACCACGACATCTTCATTCTCTGGCTTTGAGTCGACAACGCGCACAACCTCGACAACAACAATCACAACCACAACGTCGACAACCACAAGCGCAACGACTTCGTTCTCTGGCTTTGAGTCGACAACGCGCACAACAACCTCGACGACGACAACAACAACAACAACCACAACAACCACAACAACCACAACAACAACGTCGGCAACCACAACCACAACGACTTCGACAACGACAGGCTCTGGGTTTGAGTCAACAACGAGGCCAGCCACCACCACAACCACCACAACCACCACGTCCACAACATCGTCCTTTTCCGGCCTCGAGTCAACAACGCGCCTAACGACCAGTACCACTGGCTCTGGCTCTGGCTTTGATACGACGACTCGCCCTGTGACCACGACGATGACAACTACGACGACGACGACCGCCACCACCACCACCACCACCACCACAACTACGTCTGCAACCACAACGACTACGACTACGACCACAACGACTACCACATCCACGTCATCCTCGTCATCGTCGTTCTCTGGCTTTGACTCAACCACTCGACCATCCACAACCACAGCCACCTCGACGGGGTCTGGCGTTGAGTCGACCACCCGTACCACCACAACCACGACAACGCCACTGACAACAGTGACCACCACAACCTCCACGACGTCGTCGTCCTTCTCTGGCTCTGAGTCAACAACACGTACCACCACAACAACTAGCACGACGACTGGCTCCGGGTTTGAGTCAACCACTCGCACAACAACAACAACAACAACAACGACGACGACGACGACGACGACGACCACAACCACAACCACAACCACAACCACAACCACAACCACAACCACAACCACAACAACAACCACAACCACAACCACAACAACAACCACAACCACTGCTGGTTCCGGCGTCAACACCACGACGACTTCTACGTCGTCATCCTCCTCAGGGTTTGAATCAACAACGCGCCCGTCAACGTCCACAACATCAACGTTTTCAACTGGATCCGGCTTTGAGAGCACGACACGATCCACCACCTCAACTCTGACGCCAACGTCAACCTCAAGCTCCACAACGTCAACGTCGTCGTCGTTCTCTGGCGTGGAGTCCACGACACGCACCACTACCACGACGTCCACGACGACAGTGACAATGACGACGACCACAACTTCAACAACCCCAACAAGCTCGGGGTCTGGCTTTGAGTCTACAACGCGCACGACGACCACAACTACCACAACAACTACCACGACAAGCACTTCGGCAGGCTCTGGCCTCGAGTCGACCACGCGATCCACGACAACCACGACGACGACAACGACGACAACAACAACCACGACCACGACCACCCCACCCCAACAACGACGACTACAACTACAACTACAACTACAACCAGCACAAGCAGCGGGTCTGGATTTGAGTCCACCACTCGCACCTCCACTTCCACAACTACATCTTCATTCTCTGGCTTTGAGTCAACGACCATGACCACGACCACGACAACCACAACCACAACCACAACCGCCACCACCACCACCAGTACCTCGACTGGTTCCGGCTTTGAGTCGACGACGCGCACATCAACAACAACCGCAACTACAACCACGACCACAACCACCTCGTCTTCGTTCTCTGGCTTTGAGTCCACCACGCGCACAACCACAACAACTGCAACCACAACCACCACCACCACTACAACCACAACCACCACCACCACTACAACCACAACATCTTCATTCTCTGGATTTGAATCAACGACACGCTCGTCCACGTCGACATCGACTTCGACGTCGTCATCTACGTCTTCATTCTCTGGCTTTGAGTCCACCACGCGCACAACCACAACAACTGCAACCACCACCACCACCACCACCACCACCACCACTACAACCACAACATCTTCATTCTCTGGATTTGAATCAACGACACGCTTGTCCACGTCGACATCGACATCGCCAACTACAACAACTTCAACGACAACAACTTCTACTACCACTATCACTACCACTACCACAACTACTACCACAACTACTACCACAACAACAACAACTACCACCACCACAACAACTACCACCACTACCACAAGTACAACCACAACAACAACTACCACCACTACCACAAGTACAACCACAACCACAACTACCACCACCACAACTACCACCACTACCACAAGTACAACCACAACCACAACTACCACCACCACAACTACTACTACTACCACCACCACTACCACCACGACCACCACCACGTCAACGACCACGTCGACCACAAGCAGCTCTGCAGATGCTGCCTTTGTGTACAGCGTGTTTGTGGACGTGCCATATTCGTCTATTGCGGACATTGCGGCCTTTGAGACCGACCTTGCTGCCTTGATTGACGCTGCTCTGGGCAACAGTACTGCCGTCACCACATCAACGCAGTCGCCGCTTGTGAACAACCGCCGCCGTCGGTCCCTCCTCCAAGCGAGCGCTGGTGGCGACGCAGCAGCAGCAGCAGCGTCGCCGTACAAGACGACGGTGCTGTCCACGACAGAGCACAACTTTGGCGGTGTGGAGTGCATGGCCATTACGCGGCGTGATGGTGCGCCGGTGCCTCCAGAGGACGTATCGGCGGTGCTTGCGACCGTGAGTGCGGGCACCTCCACCAACGCTGTTGGCGGCGAGCTGCTGCTCGTGCCGCGGTCCAGCAGCAGCAGTTCCGGCGCCCAGCGCGGCCTCATCGCAGGCGTGACCATCGGCGTGCTTGTGTGCGTTGCTTTGGCAGCAGCGGCCATTAATGTCCTGCACAACTCGCGGCAGCGCAAGAACGCAAAGAAGGAGCACTTTCGCCAGCACAAGCTGCAGCGGCAGTTTTCCAAGCCAGACGACCTGCTGGGGCCGGGTGCAGGCTACATTCAGTCGACAGTGGGGGATGCAGACACCAGCCATGTGCCCATGTACAACGAGCAGGACAACGACTACGACTACGACGAGTACCTTGCGGTGCACCATCCGCAGGTGTTTTCGCACCCTGCCGTGCGCGGCGTGTATGCCGTCAACGCCCCCTCGTACGACTGGGGCCGCACCTCCGTGGTCGACCTTGACGAGCTTGACGCGCAGCACCAGTACGGCTTTGCCCCTGGCCTCTACACGCCACAGGGCCTCTCAGACGGCACCCCAGATACAGAGCTCTCCTCCGCAGGAAGCAGCCCCGGCACGCCGCGCGCGTGGGCAGACAACCGTGGCCACCGCCATGCACGTCGTGCAAGCCAGCCTACGCACGTTGCCGTTGACTCGCCATCACGCTTCTCCAGCAGCGAGCCCGAACTTCACCGCGGGTTTGATGTGCGGCCAACGGCGTTTTCGCTCTCGCGGGAGGCGCCCGAACCAACCCCGGTCACGCCGCAGCGCGTGCGTGTGGACTCGGAAACACTCGTCATGCCCTCGGGCCTGGACCAGGATGATGGCGCCGATGTGTTTGGTGCCGCCACACCACAGCAGCAGCAGCAGCAGCAGCAGTCTGCTGGTGGCCGTCGTCGCAGCAGTGGCAATGGCATTCGCTTCTCGCCTCGGCTCACGCGACGCAACGTCGTCGGGCCGTCCATCTCGGAGGAGCCCGAGGAACCCGCTGCAGCAACAAGCACGCCGCAGCACCAGGCTGGTGGCAATGTGCCCCGCCGTGAGAGCACGCTCGCATGGACACCCTCCACTGCACGCGATCAGCAGCAACAACATCAGCAGCCAAGCACACCGCGTGGCAAGGCGATGGTAGTTGTTGGAGAAGCGGAACAGGTGTCGTCCCCCGCGCCATCGTCGCGTGCTGAGTCCCGCGCTGCGATGGAGGGCCCCTCTGTGTATGCAGCGGCAGCCAGCAGCGCTATGCAGCCGCGTGGCCCACCAACGGATGGTGTCGTGTACTCTGCAACGCTCACACTGGAGGGCGGCGCCGATGTTCCTGCGGACACCGACAATGACGAGCAGCAGCAGCAGCAACAGCAGCAGCGTGACCGCCCCTCTGTGCAGGCGTGGACAGCAGCGAGCACGGTGGAAGGCGAGGCCGAGCAGGCGTCACCCGAGCAGCAGCTACAGCGGGCACGCAGCGAACTGAGGCCCGCAGCGCAGCGCAGGGCCAGTGAGCCTGCGACGGATGCACAGCAACAGCACCACCAGCAGCTGCGCGCCGCGTTTTACGACCGGGGCCTCACCACGCCACGCACGTCTGTGTATGACAGCTACTTGTCGATTGAGCCGCACCCCGACCCGTCTGTGTTTGCGCAGCGCCACGCGCTTCGTCCAACCGGCGCCGATCTCACGCGCGATCACCTTCCAACTCGCGAGGATGGCGTTGTGGTTGGCGACGACGATGACGAAGGCGATGACACGGTGCCGCCGCTGTCGCGGAGTGCGCGCCACCCGATGCTGCGACGCGAGAACGTTGGTCCCCGACGTCGCATCCAGTCTGACACCTCTGTGCCCTCTGCCAACTCGACCATCACCACTCCGCCGCTTGGCCGCTTGCCGCTGACACCGGGGGCGTGGTCGCGCAACGGGTCGTTCCTGGACCGCTCCAACAACAACAACGCTGCACTCAACAGCAGCGGCGGGTCCGCGACCTTTGGCCGCCGCCCGAGCGAGGTGTTCCCGGGCTGCGTTGCGCGCTCGCACCCAATGGTGGTGATGGACGCGCAGGGCCGTGTTGGTGTGACGCAGAACATTGAGGGCGATGACCGCCAGTGCAACTTTGTGAGCAGCCAGTGGAGCCAGGTGGCGTCGCCAATGCAGCAGCAGCAGCAGCAGCAGCCGATGGTGGGCGTTCCTGGTCAAGTGGCCACAACACCACCAGGTGTAGCGACAATGACGCCACCTTCCACGCAGCCTCAACAACAGCAACAACGGCAGTCGTCGTCGTCGTCGTCGTCAGTGTTTCGGTCTGAGGGTGCGCCGCGTCTTCGTGACAGCATTCGTGTCGCCCGTGAGCGCCAGCGCGCACTGGAACGTGTGCGTGCGCAGCGACTGAACTACCACCCCGAGGACTCCACGGCTTGACGATGGTGTCGATGTGGTCGATGTGGTGATGGTGACTTCGATGATGTTTGTGGTTTTGTGAGTGAGTGACCGGCGCACAGACACCTCGTTACACGTCTGTGCGATCGGATGTCCGTGAGGACTCGAAAGGTTGCGAGAACGCCTCATTTCGTTTTGTTCATGTTGCGCTAGCTTGTCTCCATTGTTGTGGGTGGGTGTTGTGGGTGGGTGCAGACAGTGAGTGAGTGAGTGAGTGAGTGACAGAGAGAACTTGTGTGTGCGTGTAAGTTGGGGCTGACATTTTCACCCTTTCGCTGTCTGTTATTTTTTTCCCCCTTTGTGTGTGCCTTCATCTATTTGTGTGTATGTGCGGGGAGACCTTGACATTGACATATTTAAGTCAACCCTACACTTGTCCTCTGCCGCAACTGCACAGCGCGCGCGTCGGTGTCTGTGTTGACGGGCTGCTTTCTTGTTGTCTTTGGCATCCCTCGACACGACGCGGGTGTGTGCGCAGGCGCGTGGGAGCATATGCTTTGCGTGCGTGCATTGCGAATCTGTCTGTGCCTGTTTGAATGTCTTTCTCTGTTTGCGGGCGTGCTGTGCCGTTCGTTTGCGCTTCACGTAGTTCGTATGCATGTGCATGGTTCGCCTCTTACTTGCACCAGCTTGCCACGGGCATCTTGATTCCTGTTTCTTTGATTCGTTTTGCAAGTAAATGATGACATCTTTCATGTGCTGAAGCAGACAAGTTAGCGAGCAAGACGATTATGTGTGTGTGTGTGTGTGTGCGTGTGTGTACTTCGGTGTGCCGCTCCACGCGTTGCATTCGTTCGTATTGAAAGCTGGTGCCTGGCAGATCACTTCGACATGTTGTAAAAAGAAGAAAGAACGAGCGAAGCGCAAAGGGCGTGCAGAAGAGAAACAGAAAAATACATGACAGCGAGGCAACAAGCACGCCAGCTAAAACACGTAACAAGGGTCCGAAACAACAAATCGACAAACAACACGAAGACGCGGGACGACAAGCGAGCAAGCTAGTCCAATGAATGGTGAGTGAGAGAGAGAGCGTGCGGTCGTGTCTTGTTTGTGCATCTATGTGAACGTGGTCGTGTGTGTGTGTGTGTGTGTGTGTGTGTGTGTGTGTGTGTGTGTGTGTGTGTGTGTGTGTTGTCATTGTGCAGGAGCTAGCGGAGCAGCTGTGTTGGGAGGAACGGCTAAACGTAAATGTCTGGGTAATCCGCCTTGTTTGCAAACTTGCCCTGGGCCTTATCGTCCCAGTAGCTGCCCTTGTACGTGAACCACGTCCTGTCTGTCTCTGGGTCCTCCACCAGCTGAAACCAGCGTGGCGTGTGCTGCTCTTTCTCGGCTTCTCGTGCCTTTCGCGCAGCACGCTGCTTCTCCTGGCAGCCGTGAGCGGGGTGGCAATGCGATGTCGCGTGAGGTGGTGTCGTGTGATTTTCAAACGGGTGAAGATGAGAGGAGTGGAGGATGTCAACAGGATGAAGAAGGCAACGGTCAAGGCACTGCACCACCACCACCACCACCACCACCACCACCACCACCACCACCACCACCACCACCACCACCACCTCCAGCAGCAACAACGGCAGCAGCAGTTGCAGTGCAGTGGTACCTCGAGAGCGCGTTTTGTATCTGATGCGGTCTGCATGTCGCCGTCTTCAAGTAAGCGCTGGTCCGGGCGCAGGCGGCTGTCCGTCGGACACACGTTATCCTGCAAACGGAGAGAAAAAGGGGGGGGTGCGAGAAGGGAGGAGAAGCAAACTGATCGTTTGTTTGCAGTGGGCTGGGTACACGCAATGGAAGAGGGAGTGCGCGTCCGTACACACGCACACACACGCACACACACGCACACACACGCACACACACGCACGCACACGCACGCACCTCCTTGTTGTTGAGTGACATGGAGAACGTGGTCATGCCGTATTTCTCCTTGCAGTCTGGCGGAATTGGGGGCGCCGTCCACAACCGCTCAAAGCTGTCATCCTACACGCACATACACACATACACACACACACAAGTCAGTTGCGGACACAGACAAAAAGTGGGATGAGACACACACAATACACACAGACAACAGCAGATGAACCCACTGTGAGTCAACATGCGCATCAGTCGACACTTGCCTCCCTCCAACACACACACATACACACACACATACACACACACATACACACACACATTTTTACACCCTTTTCACCTTGAGCTGGGTTGAGTCTCTGAGGTGTGCCCACTGCACCTCGCCCGGGATGAGAACAAGGCCCTCGTCCCACCGCCCGTTGATCGTGTACTGCACCCGCCCCTCCGCATCCTTCACATACCCTGATCACCCGTGGCAGGTAGCGGGCGGTGGTGGCACATGATGACAGTGGTGAATGTGGAGTGACATTGGTGAGCTCTGTCTTGCATTGCAACCAACACACACACACACACACACACACACACACACACACACACACACACACACGAGCAAACAAAGAGTGGCGAGCATGCGTGTGCGTACCGTGGAGGTTGAAGTAGCGCTTGCCGACGGAGGAGTAGGGCGACCACACCATATCACACGTCTCACCCGTACGGTGGTTGGTGATGGTCACTGTCCCCTCGTGGTCAACCCACATACGCCCAAACATGATGTTGTGCACCACAAGCGTCTGCTTTGTAAACGTGTACCGTTCATTGTCTTCCGGGAACTCTACGCTCGCAATACCGTGCGGGATCACCTGAAGAACAACAGAGGATGTGTGAATGTGTGCATGCGTGTGCGTGCGTACGTGCGTGCTTTTGCGTGTGTGGAAATTGGTGTGTACATGTGTGTGTGTATATGTGTGTATGTGTGTACGTGTATGTGTGCAAGTGTTTGCTGGTGCTGTTACTGAGTGTGGCTGCGCGTCCCCTCTATTGCCCTCCCAACAACACACCCGTACCATCCCATCATCATCATCTTCATCATCATCATCGTCGTCGTCGTCGTCATCATCGTCAGCAGCAGCAGCAGTATCTGCTCACCCCAAGCTCCGGCCCCTCCTTCATCAGCCCAAGTGCGCCCTCAAGCATGCTCTCCCCAGACTCCTCATGCTGCCCACACCCGCAATCGCAACCATGCACGTGAAGGTTGATATATGTGTGCGTGTGTGTGTGTGTGTGTGTGTGTGTGTGTGTGTGTGTGTGTGATGCGTGACTACAGGAAAAAGAGGGATTGGATAGGTGCATCTCTGTATCGACATGTGTACATGTGCAGCGAGTGCTCACCCGCATGACGTTGCGGAACTTGACGACGCCCTGGTACTCCTGCTTGACCACCCACCCGCTCGCAGACTCCGCGTGCATCGCAGAGATGGGCGGGTGGTGGCTCACCTGCACGCAACACAGCAGCAGTGGCGGTGGTGAGCAAGTGTTGCACGGGGTACACTCTCGAATAGGAGATACACCCAGCGACATGCACTGGAACAAAAGCTGAACAAAGTGTCAGCCGAATGCACTCACCGAGACGTACACGCAAACATACACACATACACACACACGCACGCACGCATGCATGCACGCGCGCAAGGAAGCAAGGAAGTGGCAGCTCACCTGCTCGCATATGCAGCGAAACCCGAGATCAGGCCGCACGCACTCGTACGTTTCGCCAAGCAGCGGGTTGAAGGGCTTGTAATTCCTAGTTCACGAGCAACAGCAACGACAACAATAGCACATGAACGCGTGCATTTCAAGCAGACTTGAGCCTTGAAAGTCGTTTGCGGCTGATGGCACACACATGCACATACACTTACACATGCACATACACATACACTTACACTTACACACACAGACACATACACTTACACATGCACATACACATACACATACACATACACTCACACATACACATACACATACACTCACACATACACATACACATACACTCACACATACACATACACACACACACGCTGACTCCATGTTCACGGCATTCATGCGCGCACCTGAACCCCGTGCCAGACGAGGCATACATGGAGCAGGAAAACGCGGCCACATACGCCAGGCGCTTCAGGCTGTCTGTTTGCTCTGCATCATCATCGTGGCGGCACAGATCAGTATTGTTCTTGGTTGTGAGCAAGGGTTGTGTGTGTGTGTGTGTGTGTGTCGTCTTGTGTGGGTTTGCATACGCATGTGGTTTCGTGAGTTGCGTTGTGCTGTGGTGATGATGAGAGAGCAGGGCCCGTTACTGACTTGCGGCGTTGTCGAGCACGTCTGAGCTGGCCAGATCCTCTGTCAATCTTTGAAGGAAGCTGATTGGCTCGTTGAAGTGCACCGGCATGGACACGTGCGTGATGTCCTTGCAGTGATCCACATACCACACAGGAAAACAGTCGATGAGTAACGAGTTACAAAATACAAGTCCACATTCGCATGACACACACACACACACACACACAACATACACACTTACACATAAAACATACACACACGCAAAATACACACACACAATACACACACGCAAAATACACACATGCATACACACATGCACACACAAAACATACATGCACACGTACACATACACACACACCTTGCCGATGGCGGATTTGAGAGCGGCCCAGAAACCAGATCCGGCTTTTGGTCGTGGCAACGGGATGGTCTCCCGCACTTCACCATGCCATTGTTTCAATGTGTCTGCGATGCAAAAAGAAACGAATGATGGTTGACCGTGCACACCAGGTGTGAGGGTGGCAACCCAGGGAAAGCGTTTACATTGTCACGCACCCAAGCGTGGCAACCGCGACGACTAACGCAAGCACAAACGACCGAAGCGTGGCAACCGCCACGACAAACGCAAGCACAAACGCAGCCATACATACCATCCAGGTCCGTCTCATCCTTGGGCTTTGAGTACAGCGCGTATTTCTGTGCAGACAATTCGCAGAGCGCACCATGTTAGTTGTTGGATCAGCGTGCATGCGATCGCGTGCAAGCACACAACGGCTTCGAAGCTAGGTGACGAGACGGGCGAGCATCCAGACAAACACAGAAAGACAAAGAAAGAAAGAGAGACAGAGAGCGAGAGAGAGGCGGAGAGAGACGAGCATCAACACACACACACAACACACACACACAACACACACAACACACAACACACACAACACACACACACACACACAACACACAACACACAACACACAACACACACACACACACACACACACACACACACACACACACACACACACACACACACACAGACACACACACACACACACACACACACACACACACACACACACACACACACAAAAACAACACACACAAAAACAACACACACACACACAACCCACCTCCATCTTGGCAGGTCAATTTCGGCAGCATAAAATGAGGTTGAGGAATATTCATTGAAGATATGACTCCTTTTGCTTCTCAAGCTAACTTCCTAGTTTCAGGGATGAAAAAGAGCTGCCGCCTCCAACACGATAAGAAGCCGCTCATTCACCCCCTTCTTCTGGAGCGAGCAGACAAACAGCAGCAGCAGATACAGACCACCCACACGCACCTCCATCCATCCATCCATCCATCAACACAGAGAACCACAGCAACCATGTCTGGAGTTCAGTCTGCCGGCGTTCAGAGGCTTGTGGAGGCGGAGAAGGCGGCCGCATCCAAGATCAAGCAGGCCAGGAACGGTACGGTAGACACGCCATCCACGCCTGTTGTTCTTCTTGGCGTGCTGTGTGGTGCTGTGTGGTGTGGTTGATGGTTGTCCTTTGTGGCTGCGTCGTGGTCACTTGTTGCTGTCTTGACTGTGCTTGTGGTTGTTTCTTGTTCGCGTGTGACTGCTGTAGTGATGGGTTGCGTTTTGATCGTGTGCGTGTTGCTTTTCTTTCCTTTGTGGGCTGTCCTGTTACGGTTGCGTTGTTCTTTGTGGACTGGTTTGCATTTGGTTTGTGAGGTGAGAGAGACGGAGAACACTGCCGTTGTATCGTTCGCTAACATGACGTGGCATTCTCCTCTTGATTGTCTTCCCCCACCGCTTCGCGGTTGACCTTTTGTTCCTTGCAGAGAAGGCACAGATGATGAAGCAAGCAAGGACAGAGGCACAGAAGCGCATTGAGGTCATTCGCAGTGAACAGGAGAAGGCATATCAAGAGAAGGTGCATGCACGGGAAGGCAGCGGCAACGTGGACACAGCCTCCATCAACAAGAACACGGAAGAAAAGCTGGCAACCCTCAAGTCCAACGTCGAGCAGAACAGAGGCGACGTAAGTCCATGGTCGTCGTCGTCGTCGTCGTCGTTGTTGTTGTTGTTGTTGTTGCAGTGTCCGTCTGTCTGTCTGTTTGTGTGAGTGAGTTCAACCTTGAAGGGTTTTCTCCTTCCCTAACCACCAGGAATCCCATTGCTCGTGTGCTCAACAAGACCCCCTTCACACACACACACACACACACACACAAACGCGCACACACGCCTTTGGTCTGCTTGCGTGCCTCAATCCCCTTTCCTCCCCCCCCCCCACACACACACACACCTTCCCCTTGCTTCTCCTCACCACGGCACTCGCACAACCATTGTGGTTTTTTTTTTCCTTGCGACAGGTGATTGAGATGCTGCTGGATGCCGTGTGCAAGGTTGAGGCCCGCGTGCACGAGAACTTCAACCCCAAGTAGACGGCACATGCATCCATTCTTTCATCCATTCTTTCATTCATGTGTGCGCGTGAGTGCGCGTGTGCATGAAGCCGTCCCTCCCAGGTCCTTGTGGGATGCAACACATGTGTTTGTTCACCTGTACCGCCCCCTCCCACCTGCGCTTGGTTTTGTCGCATCATCAGTGCACCGCGTTCGTGTGTGCGCTGTGCCCCACCCCAACCTCCTTTTAGGCTGTCTTTTGTCGTGGTGACAGTTGTTGTTGCTGTTGTTGTTGCTGTTGTTGTTGCCGGAGTTCCGTGTTGTGATTTTACTTCGTCCTTGTTCACTTGCGCTTGTATTTGTGTGTGTGTGTGTGTGTGGTTTACATGTGTGTGTGTACATGTGTTGTTGACTCAGCTTCACTTTCGTTTACTCAAACCAGTTTTGTCACGTGACCTTCGTAGGTGTGTGTGTGTGTGTGTGTGTGTGTGTGCGAGACAATGA